GCTTCATGACCAGCTTTGGATTTCTAGAGGGGAAAGTTCCAAACATCTTGGTACATGATTTTTTAACAGTTCTCTAAGTGGTCAGATGTATGACATGAGTAGCGAAAGAAGGGATTGGAACCTTAATGAGAAGCCTAATTTTAGAAGCATCGTGTCTAAAATAAAAATAAAGATATGTGCAGATATCTTGCAGGCAGAAAGGACAAATACGAACAAACTATTTCGATGTTTACCTAACCCAGATGCAAACTTTTAGCTCTAAATACCTCTAACATCAAAACATAAATTCAGTGAAACTGCATAGAGTTTTGAGAATGGGAAAGTTTTAAAGATTTCTGAAGGTAAGTGAGAAACACACACTTGCTTTGATTGAATTAAAAGAGAAAATTATGTCTGCAAATGAGGACTGCTCAAGAGTTCAGTATGGGGTCACTGTAATCTTCCCTGGGAAAATCTTACATTATACCTCGATGCTTCAAAAGTAGTATCAGTAAATATTTTTTATCACAATTAGAAATAATTTTGAGGTCCTTAAGTATAAGCAAAAAGTACCTATAGTACCTCTCATGATTCAAGAGAAACCAAAGGCACACTCTGTCCATGGGCTTGTGCTGGCCAATAGAAACCTTGTTATAGCTTTGTTTTCTGTTCTCTTTTGTTCTCAAACTCAGGACTTCTGTGCACAATCATGCACTCCCTTTCCTTCTCTGTGAGCTTCATCTCTGCGAGTTCTTGTTCTGGAGAGTCACTTTCCCCAGGGAGTTGGAGCTTCCTTATAAGTAATACAATCAAGAATGCTGGGAGGAAGCTTGATCCTCTTAGAGCTGCTGGCAACCCAAGGTAAATGCGCCTATCAAAAAACAACAAATCTGTATTCAATCTTAATACAACGAAAGTACGTTCTTACAGGTCATTTATTCTTCAAAGAAAAACATAATGCGATTTACTATGCTAGCTTATTAATTATGTTCATTGAAATGTCAGATAGTTTCCAACAAAGAAGTTTAAATGCATTGCTTCTTTTTTGCTCATGGCTAGTTTCCATTGTCATCTTGACTGGATTGGGATCATTATAGAGCTGCATCTCTGGGTGTGTCTATGAGAATGATTTCATAAATGTTTGGCTGAGGATGAAGACCCTTACTACCATGTTTTGGGATTCTAGCCCTCCATGCTTCCTGACAGGGTGGGTTGCATAACCCCTCATTCTCCTCCACCGTGCATCCTCTGCCGTGACCTCACTCTGAATCACTGTTTCCTCTGCCATTATTGCCCATTCTCTTAAAAACTGAGACAAAAGCACCCCTATATGAGGTTAAAGGAACTCCTCTGTTTTGCTTGCTCAAATTTTGATCATACATGCATAAAACATCTTAAAGTCACCTATCCAGTTTTCTCTCGTAAGAATTTGTTTGCTGTGTTATACCAACTGATTTTTGTGACATTGAAATCCTTTCATTTCCAGAGTAAGCCATATTAGTAATTTTTAGGTATTAATAGTTTCAAATTGTTAATTTTCAAGCATATTTTTGCAATTATTGTGGTCAATCTATTTTTTATTGTTTTAACTGTGTACATGTGTTGGCCTGTGTGTGGGCATTTTTTGGGAGTCCTGGACACCTTGCAGTTGGAGTAACAGGGCATTTTGGGCAACACAGTGTGGGTTATGGAAATTGAACTCACATGCTCTTAACCCCTGAGCCATCTTTTTGGCACCAAATTCTTTTTATTTGATGATCTTGTCCACTTTAAGCATGAAGAATATAGAAGCTTTCTAAAATGAATTATGTATTTTTCCCTCTCGTCATTTCTGAGAATAACTTTTATTCTGTTATATGCATCTTTGGAAATTTGATAAAATATTCTGTAAGTTTTCTGGACAGTGTTTTTGGTAAATGGATACTTTGAAATGTACATTTCAAAGTAACTATGAAAGTATGCCTTCGTATTCTCAACATATTTATATGAAAGGCCGGCGTGATGAATAGTGTCATCAACTTCACACAATCTAGAATCTTGTGAGAAGGAAGTTTCAGTGAAGGCCTGTGTGGATTTTGTTGACCCATGAACATGTTCATGTGGCACTATTTGGATGGATAACATTAATTGAGGTGATGAGTTCCATCCCACAGTAGGTGGCAAAATTCCTTAGGCAGGAAATCTGGAACTGCATAAGCAAGGAGAAAATTATTGTGCTTACTTCTACAGTAGGGAAACATATATATATATATATATATATATATATATATATATATATATATATGCTTAAGACTTCAAATATAATAGTCTAGAAATACCATTGAGATTTTTTTCATTAAAGAGATAATATATTAAAAAGTATCTTAGTTTATTTTCCTGTCCCTGTTATAAAAGACCCCGACAAAAACCAATTTTAAAGGAAGAAAGGTAAATCTAGCTCACAACTCCAAGCTAGACTCCACTACTGTGGGATATCAAGGCAACTGTAACTTTCACTCACACAGATACACCGACAGGAGTAATTGACTACTTCTACACTGGACACTCCTGTTCCTGTGGCTATGCTGGACTGGGAATGGTATCCCAGCCAATCATAGCTGGGTAAAGGTCAGTACTTTCCTCTCCTATAATTTTTCACTATATCGCTCGTCCAAAAACAGAGGAGTGGGTTTTACCTGCACTTTTCTTTTTCTGAAGTGGGCCTAGGTGAAGGGACACAGTGCAATCTGTAGCTAACAAAGTTCCTCTATAGGCTTTATTGGACCTGCTGCCCTCAAGGGCCAGCAAGGAAACAACCCAAGTCTGGTTCAAGAGCAGCCAGCCTAGCATGACCCCTGGGTGTGGGGCAGCAGAGAACACACATCTATTTTACTACACGTCAGTGACAGGTGCCGGGGTAGCACTGAGATTGGTGAGGACCATGCAAGAATGGCTTTTAGTCTAGGCAACAGCATGAAACCACACACAACTGGATATACCCGCATCTCAGAGGCCAGGCTCCCTGGTCTGCTGGTCCTTGATGGTAATGGTTTCAGTCATTTCCATGGCTCTCTGTGACATTCTCAGTTGGTTTGAACCATAACCACTCTACTGAACCATGTTCAAGAAGCAGCCAACCACCATGGGTTCTCATGGATGAGACTGTCAGTCGAATTCAGATGGCAGGTCCCTTCTTAAGATAGCCCCTGACTGCAGCACCCCATGTGTTTTATTAAACTGCAAGGGCAGTGCACAGATTTGGACTTCTCATCTAATAAGACTTCATGCATGAGAGGGATGCGAACTGGATGCCAAGATCCATGCTGCCTGAATGCGATGGGACTCTGTCATCTCAACCCCGGTAGAAGGAAGGAGTCCCTCCTCTCTGTGCATAGGCAAGGAGGTTAGAGACAAGAGATTTGGTTCCCACCAAAGCACCATTGTCCCTGGTCTCTAGGGCTTGCTGTCCTGCTTACCTCCAGCATTCTGCCATGCTAGCTCAGCTCAAGATTCAGCTCTCCCCGTATTCCTCCAGGGCATCTACACAAATACCCTGTTCCCCCTTTTAAAAGTATTTTGAAGGTCTGGGTTAGGAAACACACTCACTTTTATATGTATCAAGTACTTTAGAAATAATGGGAAAATATCAAAATACATAAAGAATGCCATATATGTGCACTCTGAAAATGAAATGAAATGTAATTTTATCACTGAAGAAAATGTTTGATATGAATGGGGATATTTTATGCACTACCAAAGCAAGTCTCAAAGATTAACTTTACCTGGGCTGGGCATTGGTGGCACACACCTTTAATCCCAGCTCTCGGGAGGCAGAGGCAGAGGCAGGCATATCTCTGTGAGTTCAAGACCAGTCTGATCTACAGGGAGAGTTCCAGGATAGGCTTCAAAGCAGTACAGAGAAACCCTGTCTCAAAAAACAAAACAAAACAAAAACTTAACTTTACCTGAAGTTATGTATATCATATAGCCTGCATGCCCCTCGCTCCCCACACTTCTGCGTTCCCCAGTATAAACAGGTTCTGTCTATCAAGGCGCCGAAGTAAATAGGTGCTGGAATGCCAGCTGCAATGAGGAGAGAAAGAAAAGGAATCAATTGACAGGGAGAAAGAAAAGAGAAAGAGGTGTGTTATTGTGTTTGGAAGTACTTCAGTTACTCTATAAAAATAATGTAAAATTACGAATCCAAGTATCTACAGTTACTTTTATGAAATATAAGTTAATGAAAAGTTTCTAGATCACAACAAATGTAATTATGAACCCTGTGTATTTTCTGAAATGCGTTGTGCTGGTTTTCTATACATCTAAATAACAAAACCATTTATTCCTCATATTATTCTTGAATCTACTAAAATATCAAAGGTGTAATTAAATTCAGGTAAGCTCTTGAAACACAAGGAAAAACATTTTTATTCTCTTCAGTTACTTCATTCTCAGACTAATTGCAAGTAGCCATTTTCAAACAAAAGAGCTTGTGAACTGAAGTCTCAGGGTAATGTGGGCAAAGCACACCTGTGTTAAAGATGCCACAAGGTCATTGGAATTTTCTGGGTAAAATTGTTGGTATAGGGCAGATCCAGAGACAATTTATCTTTACCTTTCACATCTGCCATTCATTGCCCCATCCCTGTGTCTGAAATTCCATGTAACTATCACGTGAAGCCTTTGAAGAATGTATTGACTTAACAGGCCCCTGTCTCCCCCACCACCACCACCAACCAAGCACTAAGAATGCCCAGAGCATCTAAGCCTACAGCAGAGACTTCCTGCTCTGCTGTAACAAACCTACCTGATGTTCCCACAGATATATTTGAGAAGTGTTTTTTCATGGCATCCTTGGCTCTCTAACTATAAACATTAATAGCTGTCACCATGACCTGAATCTATGTTCCCAAATGATGATGACTCATGTTTGATTTTAAGTTAAGCCCTCTTATTCCCTTTAAGGTGAGGGGTGTGTTTTGGCTTGGCAAGATAGTTGCTATCTTTTCCTTCAGAGAAAAAATAATTGGTTTACTAAGCACTTAATATTGATCTGATAAGTTAGGAAAATTGTTGATACCAAATACTCTTATGCAGAATGCTTGTAATCCAACTCCAAGTGACTTCTCTTCAGACTTGGTACACCTGAGAAATATGTACACACATAAATCAAAGTAGGTCATGCAAACCATGCAAATCCTCCCAGTGACAGTGGTAGTTCACGGTCTTAATGGTTAAGTTTTCTGAATTGAAATGAACACAATACAGCTCTGCATGTATTGAGCCCACACAGAGGAAGGAGAATATGACTTCTCAAAGGTATGTTCTGACCTTAAAATATCTAAAGCAGAGTGGAGCCCATTAATGGGTAGAAGCCATTGGCTGCTAACCTAGAAGCTTAAAACCCCAGTTACCATGGTGACCACCTGCTATACCCATCATAATGAACCCAAACATTTTAAAGCAAAAAACAAATAAATCTTTCTTTTTAAAAATTGTTTGCCAAGCATTTTGTCATGTTAATTAAAAATTCTAACACATTATATAAAAGTTCAAGATATGGCAAAGGTACGGATGAGCAGAGAAAGACCCCTTGTGTAGGCTATGACATTAAGAAAATGCTTTTGTTATATGGAGTTAACAACATCAGACATTTGCCTTTCCTGTACTGCCTACAAAAATAGATGAGGTGACTTATAAAGCAGCCAGGGTAAAAACTGAAAACTATAGATTAGGAATGTGGAAGTACTTTTAGAATGTGGTTTCCCCCCACCGAATACACCCTTTGGTAAGAAAAAGCATAACAAATGCCACCATTCGGATTTCATTTAGGGGGTGATTCATGAAAGGGCTCAAGGAAACACAACAGAGTAGAAGAGTATGATAGTGAGCAAACAGCAGCATCATTCACATTGAAACTATCACATTCAGCAAAATAGAGCCAAGACATATAAAAAAACAATACGAATAGACCTTAACCCCATTACTGAGGATGTCTCAGTGGGTAAAGTTACTTGCCACCAAGCTTGAGAAACTGAGTTTGATATATGAAATCCAGATGGTTGCAGGAGAATCAACTCCTGGGCGATGGCCTCAAATTTCAACATGCATGGCCATGGCATGAAACACACACACTCACACACACACACACACACACACACACACCCTTAATGCTATTAAAAGTCACACATTAAAACATCAATGAGCCACATTTTTTTTACACCTAGTTGAAGAGTCCAGTTCAGAAAGTTGTGTAAATGAAAAAGTGGTTGAGTCCTGGAAGTGAGAACAGGCATGCGGTAAATATGAAAGCAACTATTAAGGACATGTTTGGAGGTCCCAATACAATAGTTCAGCTACTCATGTGCCCTTCACCTACGGTCATCCTCTTCTATGATGAGTAATCATCACTATCAACTGAGCATGCTTCTTTGGAGCAGGGCACCTGAAGTATGGAGGGAGAAAGAGACACCATGTAGCCACATCAGCTGAATCAGCCTGGCATGTGATGGGGTGACACATGTCACAGTCAATTCCCCCTCACTTGCAAGAATAAGTTTTAAGAACTTGCAATGCTCGGTGCCTTCATCTGTCTATGAACCTATTAGCTAAAACAAGATGCGTACCACATCTCCACTTGCGTGAATATAAAACATATGACATTTTACAGCGAGAAATGAATACACGAGAACATATATGGAGCCAAATCTAGTGAGTGTCTGTGATGGATGTAACTTCCTCAATTTATGTTAAAGACTGTAGTATCTATTATTGCATTCTTGTACTTCCTTGTTATATAATATCATAATATCTGCCAACGCATTTCTATGCCTTCAGTTTAGATAGCATCTATTACTACTTTCTTTCTGCTGTTGTTGTTAAAGACAAATTGAGCTCAGTTTGTCAAGGCAGACCACTTACATTTACAAAGTTTCACATTCAGTGAGCTCAGCCCTGGGAAATGAGTGCTGGACAGCTCCTCTCTCCCTGCCTAGACAATACATCTCTTAATGTAGGCTTAAGAAATAAGGATGGAGGACTGAGCAGTCTAAGGGACCTCAGACAGTGGAACCAGGATGTATCCCTGGTGCACAAATGACCTTGCGAACACATCCCCCATGGAGGGATAACTGCCTTAACCTAGAGACAGGAGAGAAGTCCTAGTCCCTACTTCAAATGACCCGACAGATCTACATGACCCCACCTGGATGACATTGCCCTACATGTGGAATTGGGGTGGGGGATGGGAAGGGAGGGTGGTCAGGGTGCATGTGAAGGGGCAGAGAGGGTAAAAGGGAGGGAGGGAGGGAAGGAGAGGGAACTGGGATCGACATGTCAAATAATAAATTAAATTAAAAAAGAAAGAAAAGTAAAGAAATAAGGGTAGGAAGCAGGACCACCCCGAATGAATTCCCACCTGGCTGATCACTGAACCCCACCACGGGGCCTCTGCTGGAGGTGACTCTGGGACCAGTTTGGGTTGAATTCCCTCCACATCCATCACTGCAAACTCTCTGGATTGGCCACAAATCTCACTCCCCCCTCTGTGTCCTGACCACAGCTAGAGTGCTCCTGGTGCTCTCATATACCCCCCCTGCAAAGAGCCTGCCCTCCCCCCAACCTGTGCCATACTTCTCCCACTGTCTTACCACTCTGGTTGAGCACTGGAACAGAGGACACATTCAACAATCCTGACACTTTCAGGGAACTTCCCGGAGCTGCTCTGAGCACACTAGACCTGCCTATCCACGCAGGACCACCTTGAATCTCTATTTGCCTGATCTCTGACCCCTACTGCCAGTCCTCTGCAGAGCTCTGCCCCTGGCCTGAGATCCACCTATCACCACAGGACCATCCTGAGTCCCTGACCGCTGGATCTTTCACCCCCATCGCCAGGCCCCTGCCTGAGGAGAGACCTCCTAGAGAGGTTGGACCACACAGAGCTACAGATATCGAACTTCAGACCCACCTAAGCCGACTGGGGAGTAGCATAGAGAGAGAGACCTCACCTGCACCCACTGGGAAAAGATATGGAAATACAGAAATACAAGAAAATACCTAACAATAGAAAGACAAGTATGACACCACCAGAATCTAGGTACTCTACACCAACTAGACATGAAAACCCCAAAGCAGATGCAGAAGAGAATGACTTTTAAAATATCATCATAAAAATCATAGAGGCCTTCAAAGACAATGTGAGAAAATCCTTTAAATAAATGGGAAAAATTTTTTTGAAGAAATGAACAAATCTCTTAAAGAAAGTAAGGAATTAAAAAAAAAACAATTAAACAGGTGGAGGAAACAGTTCAAGACTTGAAAACTGAAATAGAAACAATAAAGAAAACACAAACTGAAGGATTGCTGGAAATAGAAAAACTGGGGAAATGATCAGGAACTGGAACTACAGACACAAGCATAACCAACAGAATACAAGAGATGGAAGAAGAGAGAATCTCAGGTGCTGAAGATAAACTAGAGGAAATAGATTCATCGACCAAAGAAAATCTTAAATCCAACAAATCCTTAACACAAAACATCCAGAAAATGTGGGACACTGTGAAAAGGCCAAACTTAAGAATAATAGGCATAGAGGAAGGTGAAGAAACACAGCCCAAAGGTACAAAAAACATATTCAACAAAATCATTGAAGAAAACTTTCCCAATTACCAAACTCTTTTTATGAGGCCACAATCACCTTGGTACCTAAGCCACACTGAGACACAACTAAGAAAGAAAACTACAGACCAATATCGCTCAAGAATATTGTTGCAAAACTACTCAATAAAATACTGGCAAACCAAATCCAAGAATACATCAGAGAAATCATCCAACATGACTAAGTAGGCTTCATTCCTGGGTTGCAGGGATGGTTTAACATATGAAAAATCTTTCACCATGATCCACCGTATAAACAAACTGAAAAAGAAAAACCACATGATCATCTCCCTAGATGCTGAAAAAGCCTTCAACAAAACTCAACACCCTTCCATGATAAAGGTCTTGAAGAGGTCGGGGATAATAGGAACATACCTAAACATAATAAAAGCAATATACAGTAAGCCAACAGGCAACATCAAACTGAATGGAGAGAAGCTTAAGGTGATTCCTCTAAAATCAGGAACAAGACAAGGCTGTTCTCTCTCTCTCCATATCTCTTCAACACTGTACTTGAAGTTCTAGCCAAATCAATAAGAAAACAAAGGGAGATTAGAGAGATACAAATTGGAAAGGAAGAAGTCAAACTTTCTCTATTTGCACATGATATGATAGTTTACATAAGTGACCCAAAAAACTCTACTAGGGAACTCCTACAGCTGATAAACACCTTCAGCAAACTAGCAGGATACAAGATAAACTCAAAATAATCTACTATGTACAGACGACAAAGGGGCTGAGAAAGAAATCAGAGAAACATCACCCTTTACAATAGCCACAAACAACATAAATTATCTTGGGGTAACACTTACCAAACAAGCAAAAGACCTATATAATAAGAACTGTGTGTCTTTAAAGAAAAAAATTAAAAAAGATACCAGAAAATGGAAAAATCTCCCATGCTCTTGGATAGGTAGGGTAAACATAGTAAAAATGGTAATCTTGCCAAAAACCAGTCTACAGCTTCAATGCAATCCTCATTAAAATCCCAGCACAATTCTTCACTGACCTTGAAAAGATAATAATCAACTGTATATGGAAAAACAAAAGATCCAGGATAGCCAAAACAACCCTGTACAATAAAAGAACTTCAGGAGGCATCACCATCCCCGACTTTAAGCTCTACTACAGAGCTGTAGTCCTGAAAACAGCCTGGTATTGGCACAAAAATAGACAAGGAGACCAATGGAATCAAATCGAAAATCCTGACATTAACCCACATACCTACGAACACCTGATTTTTGACAAAACAGCTAAAAGTATACAATTGGAGGAGAAAAGCATCTTCAACAAATGGTGCTGGAATAACTGGATACTTGTGTGTAGAAGACTGCAGATAGACCCATGTCTATCGCCATGCACAAAACTCAAGTCCAAATGGATCAAAGACCTCAACATAAATCCAGCCACACTGAACCTCTTAGAAGAGAAAGAGGGAGGTAACCTTGAACAAATCTGTACAGGAGACTGCTTCCTGAACATAACTCCAGTAGCACAGACACTGAGATCAACAATTAATAAATGGGACTTCCTCAAATTTAGAAGCTTCTGTAAGACAAAGGACACAGTGGACAAGACCAAACGGCAGCCCACAGACTGGGAAAAGATCTTCGCCAATCTATACAATGGAATACTACTCTGCAGAAAAAAAGCAATGGATCTTGAAATTCTCAGGCAAATTGATGGAACTTGAAGAAACCATCCTGAATGAGGTAACCCAGTCACAAAAAGAGGAACATGGTATGTACTTGCTCATATATGGATTTTAGACCTAGAGCAAAATGATCACCAGCCTATAATTCTCACTGCCAGAGGAACTAGGATACAAGGTGGATTCTACAAGATTCATATAAGGTCCCTCACAGAAGGGGGAAGGGACAAGATCTCCAGAGCACGTGGGCAGTGAGTGGAGAGGGAACTAGGAGAAAGAGAAGGGGAGGATAGGGAAGCATGTGGGACTAGGAAGATTGAGTCTGGGGAGGAATAGAAGACAGGAGAGAGAGAGAGAGAGAGAGAGAGAGAGAGAGAGAGAGAGAGAGAGAGAGAGAGAGCATAAAAAACATAGCCAATTGTTACGAGTAAGTTTTTCCTTGCCGCCTGGTCCCATTGTCGCACCAGCCCCAAATAATACAGAGATTCTGCATTTTGGTATAAAGCTGTTGGCCTGTTACTAGATTTTTATTGGCTAGCTCTATCTTAATTATTAACCCATTTTTATTAAGCTAAGTATTTCCACGTGGTCTCTTCTTACTGGAGAGTGGGCCCAGACCTCTGTTGTCTCCAGTCTCTACATGCTGACTCCTCCTTACTACTTCCTGGAAACCTCCTTGTCCCTAATCCCACCTATCTTGCTTTCCTATTGGCCAACAGTGCTTTATTTAATAACCAGTATGAGAAACATATTTACAGAATGACATTTCCCATCAGCCGTTATAGGTTTGAAGAGAAAACTGAACCTAAAGAAATGTCTAGAGACCTATAAGACTGACTCCAACTAACAATTTGTGCAACAGTGGAAAGGCTACCATAAATGCCCTTCCCTGATAATGAGATCAACAACTAACTTATCCACCATCATGGAGCCCTCATCTAGTAGCTGATGCAGACAGAAGCAGACACCCACAGCTAAACCCTGAGTCGAACTAGAATGCAGATGCAGAGAGAGAGGACAAGACCAGGTTGCAGAAACACATAGAGACAGCTGACCTGAACAAGGAGGAGCTAATGAGCCCCCAGACTGATAGCTGGGAATCCAGCATGGGACTGACTCAGGCCCCCTGAATATGGGTCTCAGATAGAAGGCCTGAGCAGACTAAGGGACCTCTGACAGTGGAACCAGGATGTATCTCTGATGCACAAAAGGACTTTGGGCGCATGTACCCCATAGAGGGATACTCCTTTAACCTAGAGACAGGAGAGAAGGCCTAGTCCCTAATCCAAATGATCTGATAGATTTAGATGACTCCTCCTGGAAGGCATTATCCTATGTGTAGAGTGTGGGGGGGGTGGGATGGGAGTGGAGGGTGGTCGGGGGCATGGGAGGGAGGGAGAGAGGGAGGGAAAGAAGCAGGGAGGGAGGGGGAACTGGGATCGACCAAAAAAATCTAAATGGCATTGGTGGGGAAAGATGCTTTCTACAAAGGCTAAGTGACCAAAGTGTAATCCCTAAAACTCAGGAACATATGTAAAAAAAAAAAAAAAAATTTTAAAATCCCAATTCAGTGACATGCATCTGTAATCCGAGCATTGCTTGGGAATTTGAGATTCAGGGATGCTGGGGTACACAGCCAGCGCAGCAACAGAAATAATAATAGAGACCCTGCCTCAAAACCAAGATGAATGGAGAGAGCTGATTCCCCAAGACTGTTTCTGATCTCCCTGTGCTCTCACTGGCACCCAGGAGCCCACTAGACACACACACACACACACACACACACACACACACACCCTACACATACACACACACACCACACCATACACACACACCCTACACACACACACACCCTACACATACACACACACCACACACCATACATACACACACACACACACACCATACACACACACACCATATACTCATATATGCAAACATTATTAAGGAAGGAAGGAAGGAAGCTAAATGAATGAATTGACTATTACCTCAGAAGAACCATATACCCAGGTATGGCTGATAAAGAGTAGATGAAACAGCCAAATATTGACATGATTAAATAGTACTGCAGATTGACAGTACAGTCGGGGCCTTTCTTACACAGCCCAAGGACTGCAGACGAGTTCCCTGAAGACCGAATGCAACTGCAATTTTGAAACACCTGTCAAAAGACAATGTCTTGTTTAAAGAAGAAAAACGTTAAGCATAAACCTTCTATATTCTCTACATAGCCAAACAGATCAAAATGGAGAGTGTTGGGTCAATTATATGACTTAGAGGAGGAGGAGGAGGAGCGCTCATCCAGCATGAACGAGCTGGAGCACAAACACCATTGAGCCATTGCGTGATACTAAATAACCAAAATGGAGGTTCCCTTCCCCCTTTATTTCCATCTCTCTTTTTTATGGTATCTCTGAATTATATCATAAAATACTAAAGGCAGAGATTTTAAACATTGTTATTTTTTTAAATACATGAAGTACATTTGCAAAAATAAGATTTTCCTGAATGCACATTTAATATTTTGTATTTATTTGCTTCCTTGTTCATTTTTTTCTCGTGTTTGTGTGTGTGTGTTTGAGAGGGGGGAGAGAGAGCATTTATGTGTTTGTATGCCTGTGCATCTGAGTGTCTATAGATTGACATGTGTATGTCATGGCATACATGTTAATAGCAGGAGATGAGTTATGGGAGTTAATTCTCTTCTTCTCTCATGTAGGTCACTAGGATGTAGTTCTGGTGGTAACATTTGATGAGAAATATCTTTACACACTGAGCCAACTTTGTAGCCTACACATAATTTTACAATAATAAATAAACACTGCTTTTTAGCAGATATAGGCTTGGAAATACATGTCAATTCAGCACACAAAATATCAATCTAAAACCCTGCAAGGATGTTTACCATGTTGATTCCTGTTCCGACAGACTTCTCACAGCCGGCAAGGCAGGCTGACATGTATGCTAGGCCATTGTCTCCACACACTGGGTCCCATGTTTTGGTTAAGCAGTCACACTTTGTGTTGCAGTCATCAAGGACCTTATTCTCCACATATAATGACTGCTGAATTCTGGAATGATTTTAAATAATGTTAGGGATGCTAAAAAGCTACCCAAGATCTTTTTTTTTTCTATTTATCTCAGCCTGTGTGCTCACATACATGCAGGCATACATGCATACATAAATATATACATACATACAGAGAGAGAGAGAGAGAGAGAGAGAGAGAGTTTGCCTTCCCCAAAACATAAACAGGACTCATCGAAATACTATGCAAGTCTCAATGTGTAGTCTCTGTACTGTGTTTTCAGCACAAAAGTTATCTGCTCTGGTTGGTCACATGACTGCTTTTTCAATTAGGACAAAAAATATTGAGTGCCTACCTTACAAGAAAATACTGTGCTGTTAGAGCTAAAACTGAAGTCACTGATCTGCATGATGGGAAATTATGAAAGAGAGCTGGCTTGAACAAACTGCAATTTACATTTATAAGATACATGACACATTTAGCCCCCACAGTGCTCTGCACTTACAATAGGATTGAAAGAGGATCATGTGGGAGTCTAAGGCCTGAATTCGCATCCTGTCACTCAAACATGTGTGGGCTTAGCATGGCTAGACGTGGAATCAGCGTGCATAATTCTGCTTTGCTGTTGTTTAAGCTTTTTTTTTTTTTGAAAACTCACTAATTCATCTTGAGTTTTAGTTTCTCATCTACTAAGTGAACAGAATTGCTTTCTTAAAAAGAGATTCAAATTAGTTGATGTATATATTTATTTATTTATTTATGATCTTATAGTGGAATTATTCAAATCTTGTAATTCTTAGACTTTAAAAGGGCTTTCTGCCCTGTCTCTGTCTCTTTGTGCGTGTGTGTGTGCATGCGTGTGTGTGTGTGTGTGTGTGTGTGTGTGTGTGTGAGTACACATACAATAGCATGCATGTAGAGGTCAGAAGATAACCTTCCACCTTGTTGGACACAGCGTCCCCTGCTTTTCATTGTGCAAATGCTAAACTAGCAGGCCGTGAGCTTTCAGGCTTTCTTGACTGTGCCTCTCAGCTCAAGTAGGAGTGTCAGCATTACACTCCATTGCACACCATGTCAAGCTGTACATGGGTTCTGGGGATCTCAACTAAGTGCTTCTGCCTGCTCAGAGAACACTTTACCGCTGACTCATCTCCCTAGGATTTCAAAAGGAACCTCCATGTCTGTGTTTTATTAGATTTTAACTGATTAGATGATTATGTAGCTGTGCCCTAAAATAAGTTTTACATGTCCCATGCTAATACAGAATTTGATGAGGCAATCCTTAATATAGAATACAAGAGATATAACTATACTGGTGACATATAAATGTATACATTTGTTGACTTACTGTGTATTTGACCCAATAATGCTAAATTTGTGCCCAGTATAGAAACATATGAAGGTTTGCTGGACTGTATATAAATTTTAAAGCTGTCTGTTATTATATAGTCAACTTTTAAATCTATCCATAGTATAAGATACATGGATAATTTAGGCTACAAAGCTCTAGTTAATTTCCTTTATTGTACTTTAAAGCAGACCAGGATATCACCACGGTGATCACATGTATGTACAGAGAATCATAAACTTACTCACTGGTAGTCCACATATCTCTTTAATAAGCTCACAACTGTGTGAGCTGGTATAGAATTGATGGATGGGAGGAAAATTCAAGACAACAGTGAATGACTGCCATTAAATCATGATAAAGTGATCTGGTCATGGGAAACCCTTGAAGAAAATGGTCTAGCAATTGTGAAAACATGATCTTCCTTAGGAAACAGCATACCCTTCATAAGATGTAGTTAGGCCAGCAACTGGGAAATTGTCACAGGTCCACATGTAGTTGAAGAAAGATAGAAGATACTCAATCAGGCATAGGCAGAATGCTATGTATGCAGCTTTCTTGACAGTAATCGTGAACTTCTTCATAATGAAGCCACCAAGCAAATATCCCATGCATATAGGAGGTAAGGAATAAAGACCTATAAGTGCAAATAAAACCGTCTTTATAAAAGACAGCAGAAAATTAATATTTTATCAATTTGTCTAATACACCTTACTTAAATTATTTAGCTTCTATACACAGTGATTCTAGCCCCCACACACTCAAGTATTTCAAATGCCCCATAATGTCACTTTCAAAAGACAATTGGCATTTATTTACTCATTTGTAGCAAGTTATAAACACCTTGTGACCATCACATGAACACACACACACACAAGATATTTCATGTACTTCTTTCTGTGGAGGTACATAGATTAATAGGAATGTGTTAATAATTAAGAGCGAGCTAGCCTATAAGAAGTTTGTGCCATTGGCCAAACAGTTTATAATTAGTATAAGCCTTCTGGTTTTTGTTTGTTTGTTTGTTTTGTTTTGTTTTGTTTATTTGGAACTAAACAGCTGAGGGACCAGGCAGGAGAGAAACCTCAGTCTGCATGTGGCATCTAAACATTTGGCAAGAACGTCCACGTAAACCGAACAAAAGCTTAAAAACGGACACTAAAACAAAATAATATGATCAAGCAGAGCTTCTCCGTAGCAACATTTTCTCAGGTGGGCTCTGTTTGCTAGAGGCAAGCAGAAGCTCAGCTCCTTTAAGAGAGGCTCCCTGACTCAGCCTTAGCAGCAAAAAACCACAGGGCTCTTTTAAATGGTGTTTATAAGCAGCTGGCAGCATGCTTCCTGGCGGTAACATGAACCTGGAAACTCAGCCATTAAGCTAGACTCTCAGAAAGCCAAGGACTAGGATGGGGCCAGCTGTCACTTTAATCTTAGACATACTGTTTATCAGATTAAAGCCTCATGTCATCAGAAAAAGACAGAGATATACAGTAAAAACTGATTCAGATGAAGCAAAACCTCTAAACAGTTTACGATGTGTTTAAAAATATACATAGGCTTGGGAGAGAGAAGAATAAAGTCCTTAAAAAAAAAAAAAAGCAGCTGAGTGTGGTGGCCCAGGCTTTAATCCCAGCACTTGGGAGGCAGAGGCAAGCAGATCTCTGTGATTTCAAGCCTAGTTACTGAGTGAGTTCAAGGGCAGCCAAAGTTACACAGGAAAAACCCTGTCTCAAAATAATAATAAAAAAAGATTAAATTAATAAAAAGAGTAATAAAGAAAAAGCCACATAAAGATGGAAAATACACAGAAAGTGTGGATACTGTATGTTATTGTGTTGTCTTTAAGTTACTTGATTCCTGAGGAAGGAACAACAGCTGCTAAAAGACATTTGACTATAAATGCTTGTGGATTAACCCAGCCTACAGATTTTGAAAACGCCTTGACTTCAAAACTTAAGTCTAAGGACATGTTACTTTGGAAAAGAGGTCCTGATTTGTTTCCACAGAACGAAAAGCTGAGGATTTCTTCTAGACTAACATGGTTTGATCAAGCAAGACCACCTGAAGCAGTGGCCCAGGTGATCCAACATCCAAAACAGCTGAGACGATGCAGCCTCAAAGACCCCAGGATTTGTCCATGGTTATGGGTTTTTTCAGGAGCCCCTTGGGATTAACAACACCTCCAAACAGCAGGAAGCAGTTTGGAGAGAACTACACCCAAATTCCTAAATATGGTTTGTAAAAACTTGTTTTCATTTAAACAAGGTTGGTTATAAATGGTTAATGGTCACAGTAAATCTTTTTTCTAAAGAAAAAGAAAAGAGAATATTATATAGAAATGAATACTTTGCATTGGTATAGATTTTAGTTCATTGATACAAATTTAAGGTCCGTTTTGTTATATGTATATATCTACTCTTGTTTAAGTAATGTGTTTGTATAGCTCACTTAAAACTGCGATCTGTAATTAAATACAGATTATAGTCACCTACATATTCAAAACTTATGTTTGTTAGGCTTTCTAGATATACACAGCTATGCATTTCAAATGGATAGGTATTCTTCAAAACCTTTCAAAGGCCTACAGAATATGGCATTTTAAATGGTTTATTGGGGTTTTCCATGACGAGACACAACTGCTCCTGGCAACACCAATTGTGTCAGAGAGCAAGATGGGCATCAGAGAAACTCATTATGTAGTTTGTGTTTTACATGACAGAAATAGCCACTCAGACAAGAAACTGCTCTTGCTTGGACTGCTTGACAGCATGCTGTCCAAACTGGACAAGCAGGTTACAAAGAAAAGTGACTGCTGAACTTGCCAAGGGACAGGATGGTCCTTCAAGGTACCTGCTTCATCAAAGACTCTGCCAGACACTGTGAGCTTATGGGCTGAAGATGAGGTGACTGTCAGGCAGTGAGATGTCTCTGTCATTTCTAGAGTTTATATCATATCCTCCTGTGGTCTTTGATGGACTTGAAGACAGATAGTTATGGTTATGACTTTCCTTAATTATGATAAAAGATAAGTTACATAGAAAATTTTAGACTCACAAAGGTAGGATAGATGATAAAATATTTTCCTTAAATTTTGCCAATTGCAAAATAGACTAAATATTGTAACTATAATTCTTTATTGATAACCATTTTGTTACATGTAATTATACTATGTAAAAATTAAACCCTTCCTTTTTATTTAGACAGAAAAGAGGACATGATGGGGGATGTTTTTCTGTATGCCTTGAATACATGCTTCTTTTATTGGTTGATTAATAAATCTGATTGGCCAGCAGTCATATAGGAAGTATAAACAGGACAACCAGACTAGGTAGGAGAATGCTAGAAAAAAGAAAAGGCAGGGAGCAATTGAGAGAAGGAGACAGCATGTAGCTACTTGGAAGATAGGACTCTGGGCATTCTCTGGTAAGCTAAGACCATGTAGAGACAAATAGATTAATAGAAATGGGTTAAAATTTAAGATAGAGCTAGCCAATAATAAGCCTGAGCCAGTGGTCAAACAGTTCATAATTAATACAAGCCTCTGTGTGTTTATTTGGAACTAAACAACTGAGGGACCAGGGGGGACAGAAACCTCCATCTACATCTTTCCACTCTTGTTTATTGGGAATTTGACTCAGCTACAAGTAATTTTGAAGCTCACTGCTGAGTCCATGGTTATCAAGTGTAGAACATTCTGTGCATTGGTTATGTTGCCTGGAATTCTTTCTTCCCGACTCTGCTTCCTAAGCCCCCCTGGGGAAAAAAGAAAAGATTAAAAAAGGGGGGGGAGAAAAATCCAGAATACATTGCATTCATACAATGCCAACCCCAGACTTAGTAGAATTTATGCATCATTTGCTGCTCCATCCTTTGCACTTAATTTTATACAACTGAGGGTAGGGACTGGTATTTGGACTTCCAGAGAACTTTAGAGAATGTAGATGCTGGCAGCCTATGATGATTCATTTTCAAGAATAAATAAACCAAGAAAATCTAAAGTTAGGTAGGATCCCTGGGTTTAGAGTACTAACAAGAAAATCAGAGTGTGGCTGTACAGAATCCTCAGATCACCAGGGAACCAAGAAACTTAATTATGAGTAAGGTGTAAGGCAAGAATTGAAGCCTGGAAATAAAATCTGAGAGTAAGATACAGAATCCCACTGAGTTTACTATCTATTCCTGTTTGATTTAACATATTGCCTACCTAAAAACTGAATGACCTGAACATCCTCAAGATTGTCATAACAATGACAATTTCATTCTGGTTGGAGTGACAACAGAGAGGATATTTCTGCCCTCTTCCTTTCTCTATCCATTCTTAATTTCTTTGGAGACTAGAAAGATGAGATTACAAATATCCTAAGATATTTCAATTTCCTTGTAGTTTCCTAGTCACACGATCATACCATTTAGAATACTTTTGGGGATACTGTTTATCATGTCCTTGTGGGAGGGGGAAATACTACTAAAGAAATAAGAAAACTACATACCTGTGAGAAAGATTATCTCTGCGGTTGATTTTCCATATTGCTGTTCCAGGTATTTAGGCATGAAGGTAAATAAAATGATAAATGCATTGATCTGGAGCACACTTACAAGGATGAAAAGCATGTAAATTGGGTTGCGGGAGAGGCTCTTCATGTACGGCAAGAAATCTGAAACAGGAGCTTAGTGTAAAGACCACCAACATATCCTGGCTTTACATTTTGTGTCCAGTCTTCTCTTAAAATTTCACAGAGTCTGTGGTGCAACACAAATGCATTTGGTAATTGTCGACTCCTTGTGGCTGACGTTCTGTATCTATTTCTAAGTTTCTTCTGGAATTTAGTGACACAACTGCCTAAACAAGAATCAGAACCCAATTGTACACTCAAGCTAAACTATTAGGAGATGGAATCCTGTCTGCAGCCACATACTTTCATTTCTTTTCCTTCTAGTGATACCCTTCATTCACTAGAGAGTGACTAGTCTGTTCTCTAGATCCTGCGAGGGACTCACTTTGATAACGTTTGTGTTTATATACTGATGTTATCATTCCTTTGTGCAAGAAAGGATAAGCTAAAACTTAGGAAGAGTCAGGAATCATGCTGCAGATCACCCATATTCAGCCTCCCTGCAACACTTCTCAACACAGCAGTCATTAGAAGTACCTAGTAATATTTTCAAATGTCTCAACATGAGGATCTCACTGTAAGGAATGGTGACTCATTTATACCAAACACCTTCCAACTGACTTAACTTAAAAGCTGAGACTCAAGTTTGTAGCTATCTCTAGCAAATGGATTGAATCTCAGCACAGATAATTTGACTGAATTTCACACTTAATAGTCTCTTTTCTTTTTCTGTCTTCATGTTTCCTTTCTTGGTTTTTTTTCTAATTTATACTATCCTTAATAAAATGCCTATGCTTTTTAGAGAGTAATGTATAATGAAGAAACAGTTTAGAAGTATAGGCAAAGCAATTTAGTAAAAATAAGTGAAATTTAGTGGCAAAATCCACCTTTATGGATGAGAGGATTACAGTGAGAATATCCAGAATGTTTTCAACTCACCCGTGTTTTCTGATATCCCTGTTATCCTAAATGAGTCTCCACAATTCACATTGATTTTCTATATGTCTTGTACTATGCTCAGCTCTTTCCTAGTTTTGAAAACCAGGTTGGCCTTACAGAGCACACAGTCAAACATAACAATCTCTATTAGGAAAATCATTAATATGACCATGATTCCAAGAATGTGCAAGACTTGGAACTCACTCCCAGTATGAGTGGCTCCCCAGCTATGAGGTAGATTCATTGCACAATGGTGTTAGAGGTTTTGAGTGACGGAGGAAATAGAGATAGCATCTAGAAAGTGCTCTTCACTGTGGTCTGCACCAGAACAACATAGAAACCCAAGAATACAATGCATTTCCACCCTCATTTGACAGGTGAAGAAATAGAACCTTCCTATCCTCCACTTTAGGGATTCCAGAGCCCAAGCCATGCCCCCTCTGTTCTAACACAAATCTTTTCAGAACACCACACACATAGCTGTGAAATTAGTGCCACGGTTTAAGAATTGACAGTCTTGAACACTCTGATTCTCACAGATGCATCACCACTCTATACCAGAGGTTAATAACATTCCTGCTTATTCTACAACAGTCTGATTCTTAGGAAACAGTTCTCCTGTGGTTATTCATTGTATTCATTGCTTTCTTTCTTTTACTTATAACAAAATTTTATATAAAATAGGCTTTTCAAACCATGAGAAAAATATATTTGCTTATTGAGTATTCATACTGACTTGAAATTTTCATAAAGTAGTCATTTATCTAAACTAAGATAAGCTGGGTTGCAAATTAAGTCAGTTGTTTCCAAATGGTAAATTTGGAAGAAGATTAAGACATCTGAGTAGAGACAACTAGTGACAAACTCTCTGAACTCAGCACAGCATGACAAATGCTACACTAACTGCAGACCCATCTAAACCAAACACAGGGATTAAAGTTTTCCTGTTTGCCTTTAGTGAGTCCACGCTTCTCCTCCGTGGCTCTTCCTTGGTGTTTCTCTTCTTTGTCACGTTTAGTCACATCCACGTTACCCTCCAGTCCTTCCCTTGGCAGTGTTTTGGGGATAAAGAAAAAGGGGGTGCTGGTGAGGATATTCACTCCTGCGCAGATCAAAAAGCCGACCCACCAAGCACCGACCCAGCGCGTATCCGTGGGAGTAATGGTCAGGTCATCTGTGAAGAAATACAGACAATTTATTAGTTTCCACCATTTCCTGTGTAACTGTAGAAAGTTATTAAGAAGCATATACAAAATTTGTATATTCTATGTGATCTATTCATGTTTCTTTTTGTTCTTGTTTGGGCCTTGTACTCTGAACTCTGCTTCCTAAATGCTGGGATTATAGGTATCTGCCACCCCACAGGTTGAATTCGCATCTTTAGAAAAATTGTCTGAGGTTGACATATATTAAGTAAAGTTAAAATTAAGAAGGCAGTCCTAGACTACTATGTATCATAACAGTTACAACGTCATTTTGAAAAGAGAGAAAAGTATGTGAGACACGTTTAAGGAGCCAGCTTTAACCTGAGGTATTCCCATCTCACAGCATCACAGTGGGGGATGAAGGGGACAGGAGAGACAGGTCAGGGCTGAGAGTGACTGCTGCTCTGGCAGCCATGCTGACTTCTGTTCCTAGCACACACAAGGAAGCTCACTCCTGCCTGCCACTCTGATTTTAGAACATCTGAAACCCCCTTCTGACCTCAGCAGGCACCCACACGGTCAGTGCATACACACTACATACATATGTAATGAAACATCACATGGTTCCCCATTGTTTTTTGTTTTGCGTACTCATTAAGAAAATTAATTTGTTCTAACAGTATGTGGAGATAGAGTGTCGATGTCCAAGTCATAGGAGCTACCGACAGCAATGGATCTTAAGGGACATAACACACAGGATGACAAAGCTACTATGGTGCATCCCGGAGAGGCGAAGCCCCAGGGGAATTGTTCCCAGAATGCCCCTTGCTTTTTTTCTGTGCATCCTTCTGCTAGCTGCTGGCGTGTTCCTGCTGGATTTGACCTGGTGTGATTACTATGTGAAGGGGCCCGACTTTATCGAGTACAGCGTGATTACTTCCCGGGAAAGCTCCACTCCTCATGGGGCAACTTACTTGATTTTTACAAGAGCAATTATGCTTGCTTGAATCAGTGATTTAATGGGGCTTTCTGAGCTTAAAAGATAGGAATGTTTCGGACAGTTAGTAAAGATGATTAGGGATTATTCTGCCAATTGTTCCATTAAGAGATACTAAAATGGTGACTTATAGTCACCTTCCCTAAATATGAGATTTGCAGAGGATGGAAAATAATTAACATGGAACTTTCCTGCATTATTGACCCATGAATAAGCTGATGATTAAAGAAGACAATTATGTCCCTACACCCAATGTTATGCCTGCGTTCCTTCATCAAGTTGGTTACAGAGTCAGTCACAGGCCCCAGTATGTACATTGAGAAAACAAAGTTGTGAAAGGAAATTAAAGGATCTTAGTTATATAAAGAAAAATAGATGGTTAGCTGACCACTCATTTAAAGTTTCTCCAGAGTAGAAGAATAGAAATCTTCTACACTGAAACTGAAAGCAGTCACCTAACAGTACAAGAAGGAACTGGCTGAAACACACTTAGCTTGCTTAAAACATTGTTATTTAGTAATAAAAGTGTTGTTGCTTCAGAGGGAAGATATTATGGTGGGAAAATTTATGGTGAGGTGTTTCTTATGATTTATTACAGTTTGCCTGAGGATTCAGAAAGCAATGTCAGCCACAGGCCATAGAAGCCTTTAATCCGAGCAGCCAGAAGGTAGGAGGTGGTGGTACACACCTTTAATCATAGAACTCAGGATAAAGAGGTAGATGGGGCTCTGTGAGTTCAAGGCCACCCAGGGATACATGAGATTGAACCAGTCTAAAAGAGTAATAGATCACACACTTTAATCCCAGCACTAGAAGTGTGTGAAAGATAGACACAGGGCCTTCAGTATTCAGTATGAGGTAGGTATTCAGTCTCCAGCCACACTGAGGAGAGTTAGTGGGTCAGCCCTTTCAGCCGGGGGGGGGGGGGTAGAGGTAAGGGTTATTGGCCAGCTGCTTTGCTTTTCTGATGTTCATTTTGAAGTGTGGACCCCAGTATCCATCTCAGGGTCTTTAAACTTTTGCGTTACAAAAAATTCATGCAAAGAAAAATGGTTAACTGCTTCTGGGCTTCTAAGGAAAACATGTAACATGTGATCTTAATGTGATTTCTTCTTATGTAAAGAGTTCAATTTTGTTTTGGAAAACAAGTAACATTTGGTTGTGAGGCAAACTTTCCTTGCATAGAAACCTTTATATTGAGATGTATAAAAGGGAAAAAGAAAAATAAGAGATAGAAGGAAACAGATCAGGGGATAGAGGGGGAACATGGAGGATGAATAAAAGCATGGCATTGACAGACATAGCAAGAGAGCAACTGAAATAGGAAATAGAAGGAAAGCGAACCTCAAAATGAAGACTTAAGTTTGGTCCCATGTGTATCTGTCTGTACATCACTGCCCAGCATTTCACCTGCTTTACATCTCCTTCCCAGTTGCTCTAGTCTGCTGGACACTGGGCCCCTTGTGGCAATATATTTTCTAGTAGTAAATTCATATTTCTGAATTTCATGTGAAACTTTCTGTATGGGTGTTTATCACACAAAAGAAAAATCTCTTTTATTATTCACAGTGATGCCCTCATGGACAAAACCCCATGTGAGCAAATATTTTGAGACCAAAAGTGAGGCTGAAATGTGCTGGGAGAATGTTGGACTTTTAGTAAGAAGGTTATATACTTATGTTTGCTCATCTTAGGTCATTAATCTGCAAGTGATGATAAAATGCTTAACAGAATTGGAGGAGTCAGTGGTATAGCCATCTGGAGCACTGTCCTGCATTCTAGAGAATGGACTGTATAAATAAATCATATTTTACCTGTTTTCACAGATCCAGTGTCTACATAAATGGTTGCACAGAAGGATGCCAAAAAAAGTCCAAGCAAAGGGCCAAGAATCTTTCCTGTTTCTAAAATCCCTGCAAGTAAACAAAGATAGGAAGTTACACAATAACACAAAGAATTTGCTAGCACACAAAAAAAAAAAGCCTTGAGATTGAATTGTTTTTGATCTTAGATTTCTCTTCCTTTGCAGAGCTGGGTATGCAGTGTGCTAGGCAAGTGCTCTACAACTGACCTATACCCCAATATATCACATATTCTTATTGTTCAACATATAAAAATTTAAGCTTGGTATGTATGTTATGTTACATGTACATATATATGTTACATGTACATATGTGTTGCATGCATGTACTTTGGTTTCTATAAATACTGAGAAAGACCCTTCCACTGTTTCAATATAGAGTGACTCCCAGAAGCTCATGTGTTGTAGATTTGTTTCCCATGTGACACTGCCAGGATCTGAGGGAGCCATTCCAATGCAGGGCATGGTGTTGAGTCCCCAGGTCATCACGAGTAGAACCAAGGTCCCTTCCTCATTCTGCTTTGCTTCCCAGTCACAAGATGAATGATTTTACCTCATCCTTACTTTCTCCATAATGAACTGCCTCTTGACAGACCTCCAAAAATGACAGTCCAGTGACATAGACCAAAACATCCAAAGCAGTGAGCCAAATACATTTTTTTCTCATTGTCAGCCATTTATTAAAGTGATAGAAATCTGATTGACACAAAAACTTTATCACCCAAAGCCATATTCCAAATTCTCTTTTATGCTGAGTTAAAGGCAAAGGCTGTACTATCACAGTACCATCAAAGCCATGATAGGAGCAAGAGCTCCTTTCGATACTTCCAGAGCCAATTTTTCCAAGGGACTCTGTGATGTTTAGCTTTAATTGTCAATCAGACACAGCCTAAAGCCAACTGGAAGGAGAGTTGTATGAAGTATTGTCTTTACTGGGATTCCCTGTGGCCATGTCAGCAGGAGATTGTCTTAATTAAGTTAATTGATGTGAGAAGACCCATCCCAGGTGGGCATCAACATTCCCCAGGCAGGGAGTCATCAGCTGAGCACAATCGTGCAAGCAAAGACACAGCATGCATGCTGTCACTCTCTCTGCTCTGGTGGGTGTAACCAGCTGCTTCAAGCTCCTGAAAACTGGGGATTCTCGGTTGTGATGCAATTGGAAGGGAAAGGAAACCCAATCAAACCATCACAGAAACAGATATGAAACTAGCAGCCTCAAAAGCAGTGCCTACTTGATGAACGTCTTTTAATGTGTCTTCACTAAAGCTCTTCTCTTGAAACGTCCTTCCTTCCAAAGAAACAGTGTGTCCTCATAACAGCACTTCTCTTGGATGCTAGCCCGGTCTCCTTTCTTATCTTCCTTATTATTTTCATTTCCTTGGTCCCTTCCTCCCTCACCTGGCTTCTGTGAAAGCACCAGCAGCATCTCCTAACTTACCTAAATTCAGAATTTCTGCTGAGCCATCCCTACTCAAATAAATAATAAAAATGAAGAACCTCAACTCCCTGCCTTCATTTCAGTTTACACCCTGTCTTTTCATCTTTCTCTGTGGTTCTGTGGGTTGGTCCTCCTCTGTGGGCCTGAGTTCTCAGTACCAAACCCTTCTGTCTTCCTTATTTTCTCAAACACTCCCTGCTGTTCAATTCCTTCTGTACAATAATCCCTGCAAGATGTCCAGCCTCCACTGCCCTCTACTGTCTCCATGACTACTCACTTTTCAATCTGTTCAGATGCCTCCTGATTCTAAGAAACTTTCTCTTGGCACCAGTGACCTCTTTCATGGATCACTTTTTCTAGCGTTCATCTACATCTGTCTGCTTCCTTCTAGCACCTTCTTCTAACTACGTGTTTGTTGTTCACTTTGTTCCAAAGGAAACACTTAACTTTTCTTCCTCAAACTCTACCCACTGAGTAGAAAGGTCCCCCAATGTGTGCACACATAGTTTCCCAGTACATATATGTCTTCCCAAGACAACTTCATTTCTTCTTGGTTTAACTTGTTGTCCAGCAATGATAAATCTCAATATTTTTACATTTGGCTGATATATCTTATGGTATAGAGCCATACATGCAATAACATTCCTAATTTCTTATTTGTTTTATAGCTAATTATACATACACATGTATATTTATATAATTATATAGCTATTTATTTATAAAACTAAGCTGTTTGTATACTAAACATAAGTACTTGCAATATTTTCCTTAGATGTTTGTGTATTTAATGGTAATGACTAGTCCAACACTGGAAAAAAACTATTCCCGTATCAATTCTAATTGAATTAATCTCAATTTGTCTTAACTCTATCCCTGTCTTCTCTTTCCCCTTTTATTCTTGATTGTTTGTTTGTTTTAAGTAATATATATGTGTATATATATATATATGTATATATATCTCTATATACAAAATTATGGAGTTATAATCAACTACTGATAGATTGATTTAAGAATTAAAGCAAATTATCCCGAATAAACTATTATAAATTAAGAGAAAAACACAAGAAAGTCTATACTAAATTGGCTCTTGCCTTCGAGATGTGTGAATTTTTTTTAAGATATTTCCAACTAACACAAACAAAAAATCAACTTGAATATTTGTTAAAACCATTCAGGCTGAGGGGTTATAAGGAAGGAAACTGAGTCATTAACTTCATAGAGAAGCAGGGTGCAGAGCCCCAAGTAGTAGAAAAGAGCAGATGGTAAATCAGAAACCAAGCGGTGAACGTGGTAGAGGAGACGGGATTAAAACTGTGCTTGGTGGGGCTTATCCAGTCAGAATGTTTACAAAAATACAGCAAAAGAGAACACAGTGCCAGGCAGAAGGCTCAGCGGGAAAGGCCCAAGGACCAGAGTTCAGTCTCCAGGTTAACTCTCAAAAGCTGTCTTCTGACCACCACACTGGCAAGAAAATGCACACACACACACACACACACAGAGAGAGAGAGAGAGAGAGAGAGAGAGAGAGAGAGAGAGAGAGAGCAATGTTTTTAAATGTTAGACATAAAATGCCTAATAATGAAGTTGTAATAACTTATAGATGGAAGAATAATAGCCTTAAAGCAGCAAAAATAGAACAAAAAAAAAAAAAACCCAAAAAAACAAAAAAATACGATTGAATCTGAGGAACAATTTTCAGGAAATATAGGTGAATCTCTGATGGTTTAGGGATAAAATGGCAGCATCAGAAGACTGTAGGGTCCACCAATCAGAGGGATCTCCGTAAATGAGAAACTGCTTGATGTAGCAGCTTGTCTGGAGCTGCTGTTTAATCCCTCCATTGAACAATCTTATGACCAATGGTGTCATAGTACTCTGCTCATCGTTCAGGAAACCACAATGCGTCTAAATCAATAACTGATTTCTACCCTCCCAGAAATTGCTTTCCAGGTCTGATTTTCAAACTTACCAATGTACAAAGGGGAGTTTTCAGATTTGGCAAAATCTTCTATGTAGGAAATACCCAGGGGCATGATGGGAGTTTCGCCAATTCCACGGATAAGATTTCCTACCATTACATATACCCACATTAAGGATTTAATTTCTTTTGCACAATCTACATTAAAAGAAGAGAAAAGTACATGAACATTTTGATGGTCAAGTGTTAATTAGAAGTATTTTCTCTCTTCCCTCCTTTCTTTTTATTTTCCAGACAGGGTTTCTCTGTAGCTTTGGAGCCTGTCCTGGAACTTGCCCTGTAGACCAAGCTGGGCTCAAACTCACAGAGATCCACCCAACTCTGTGGGATTAAAGGCATGCACCACCACTGCCAGGATTTCTAGGGTCACAAGCCCATGATGACTATCAAGTGATTTACGTATTATGCTGGTGTCAATCACTGAGCTAGCTATACCGCTCATTTTGAAATAATGATTAGCAAGGGAGAACAAGTGCTGTGCCAATGCCTACTTGGGTGGGGGGTGCCTACAAGTAGATACCACTCCCCAATTCAGGGTTTAGTGACAGCACACTGGGTGTGAGAAGTTACACCAAAGAAATAGGCAAACAGTAAAACTAGGACCTGCCCTCTCCTCCAGGGACTCGGTTGTCCACAAGTCTGTGGAGTCAGTTAGTTAATATGTGCACTGTCTCATCCCTCCACACCGCTGAGGAAGGAAAAAGAAGCACGCATGGACGTCTCTGACAGTTCATGCTGTGTTGGTACAACACAGGGAAGACGGATGGGATTTTGAATTCCCCACAGCCTCTATTACTTTGTAGAAACTAAATATTTAGCTGAATAGCAACCATGCTTTTTTTTTCTTTCTATAAATTCCATTTTTTACTGTCAACCAGCAGATCAAGTAGCAGGTACTCAGAGCAATAACACAAACTAGGCCATTATGGACTTGAAAAGCAGAGGGACAAATCTTTGAAGGTGTGCATGCGCCTCCCAAGTTCACCCTAAGCTAAGTGAACTCCCACTTCCTAGGGAAGCTTGGCATTGTGTTCTCAGAGACGTGAAGGGCAAAGTACCCTCTCCTGTGGACTGGTCAGGGACTGGCATTAGATGTCCTAAGCACAACTCGGCCATAAAATCTAACTTTCGTCTATTTCTGGTTAAGTAAAGTCAGCTTCTGTCTCTAGGAATTCAGATTGTTATCTGTGATAAACACACGGATTTCTGTCTACAGATCCCAGGGAGACTCTCAACCCTCTTCTAAGGCAGAAGTGAAAGCATCAGACCCTGGAAGCATCAAGGGCGTTCCTGGGCCTCTGCACACGGAGAGACTTAACTTATCCACACAAGTGCAAGGAACACAGGTGTGCATTTCCAAATCAGTTCAGGAGGTGAGAAAGGCCTAGAATGGAGGACGATGTTTCAGGTTGATTTGCACAGAGGGCTTCAAGACGGCTGCTCTTTGACTCTCAAGCTAGTTTGGTCTCCACAGACTCCCTGAGAGCAGTGGCATTCCAAGTCTTGGGGACTGCTGCAAATTCTGTGGCATGGACAGTTCCGTATGATGTGTCCAGGAGACATGTTGGGTCCTTTGGCATGTGTGATTTAAAAATATTTTTTAAAAAATACATGTGTAAATGTGTGTGCCTTTATGGGCATATTTGCATATGTGCAGTTGCCCAAGAGGGCCATAATTGGGCACCAAAACCCCTAGAACTGGAATGGCAGGTGCTTGAAAGCAACCTGATGTCAGTGCAGGGAACCAATCAGGCCCTTTGTAAGAATAATGTGGTACTCAGGATGGAAATATCCCTCAAGAAGCTCCAGTATTAAATACTTAGTCTCTAATTGGTGGTGCTCTTTGGGGAGGTGGAGGAAGAATGTCCCTGGAGATGGACTTCAAGAGGTTAAAACCTCACTCTACTCCAGTCTGCTCTTTCTGCCTCATGCTTATAGCTGAAATGGGAACTCCTAATTTCCTGCGCCTCTTGCCATTCTACCTGCCATGATTAATTCTCATTCCTCTAGAGCAGCCATTCTTATCCTGTAGGTTGCATCTCTTTTGGGGGTCATATGACCCTTTAGAGGGGGCTCACCTAAGGCCATCTGAAAACACAGATGTAAATTATGATTCATAACAGTAGCAAAATTACAACTATGAAGGAATAATACAAATTTTATGATTGATGGTCCCCACAATATGAGGAACTGTATTAAAGGGTTTCAGTATTGAGAAGGTTCTAGAATCATACTTCTCTAGAAAAATAAGCACAGATATATTCTTCTGTGTATAAGTTCCCTAGGCCGTGTTATTTCATCAAAGTAAAAGAAAAGTGACTAATGCAAGCAGTAAGTACTTTGACATATCTGGCTGTGTCTGTGAGTTCATTTACAGAGACAAGTCAACAGGGCTCCAACATCATCATTGGGTTGACTTGTTGGTCAAATCATAAGATCTGTTGATAGAGTCATTAGACTGGCAGTATTGAAAAGTACTGAAAGGTAAGAAGCAGGCCTAATTGTAGTAAATGGGACATGGAGTAGACATGCCCACAGAGGATTCATCTTACCACTTCCTGTATCTTGTTTTCTATTGTTCTTGCCCCAAAAGAAGTGAAGTGGAGCATCAGCAAACACCCATGTCACCATGACATTCTATAAACTGTCGAAGTGATCACAGGCTGGACCCTTTAAACAATGAGTGAAAGCATGCCTTTTCTCCCTCGAGTTGTTTGGGGTTTTGATCACAGTGATGCAAAAGTTACTAATACAGAATACGAAGGAGAGGAGCCAGGACCACAGTGTGTAAGTCCCTAGGAAGTAAGGGAAGCACCCCTGTTTGGATGAAATGTAAAGTAATGTCTCTGTTAAGGAGGGAAAGGGATACTTAAACACAAGATCATGGGTAACTAAGGAATTCAGAACTGTGACATAGGCACCTGCCATTCCATGGGGCATCAGGTACACAGTACAGATACAGGAAAGTGTCTTTCTGCCTGTAATTCTTATTTGCATAATCACTGTGATGGATAGTTTCTATGTCAACTTGACACAAATTTAAACATGTCTGAGTCAAAGGGATCTCAGTTGAGGAACATGCTCAATCAGAATGGCCTGTGGGAATGTCTATGAGACATCTTGTTGGCTAATTGATGTGAGACTGCACACACCACTGTGGGCAGTACCATCCTGGGGCAGCTGGGTCTCAGCTTTATAAGAAAGGTCCTTGAGCAAGCTGGAGGACTAACTAGAAGGCTGCACTCCTTAGTGGTCTCTCCATCCAGGTTCCTTGGCTTGCCTCATAGTGGGCTACAATTTGTAATCTAGATAAACTTTCTCTTACCTCAGTTAGGTTTAGTCCATGTTTCATTACAGCAAGAGAACACTAAACTAGGCCAGTCATATAGACCTCACCATGTGTCTAAACCCATCCTTCTAAATCATTTTCTCTTCTGGGACTAACTTTACAATGGTGCAGGAGCAGATATCTTTGGCTTCTTTTTTTTTTTTTTAACAGCCACTTTAAGAAACAAAGGAGTCTTAATAAATATATTCAAACTCAGGAGGCAGAGTACTCTACGTAGTTAGACAACTCCCTTCCCTGAAGAGAGAAATAAAGCTTGTCATTCGTCCTAAATGCATACTAAACCCACTGTCACATTCAACGCCCTTCATAAAAGAGTTTTCTGAGTCTATGAGCAGAAAGTAAGAAGATGCATTAGTCAACCTGCTGGGTCTGGCGTTGGCACTGAGGTTCTGTTTCCCGAACACAAGAAGCTGTTTGAGGACAAGTTGCTTGCAGGTGAGATTGTTTTTTCATACTCGTATCTGTGTGGACAGGGGAAAGGGTCACACGTCATAACAAGAGATGACAGAATCCATCACCTAACAGTGTCACGGGACCTAAAGTGCTAACAAACTCTGGTCATTTAACTTGACAAAATCACCAAGGACCAGCTTGTCACAGAAAGAAAATGACAGAATGTGACAGTAGTTTCTCTCCATTGTAGATAACTATGCATTTTATTTATTTATTTATTTATTTATTTATTTATTTATCTATCTATCTATTACTCTTAAGTGTTTTTTAGAAGACAGACAGCCAGAGGAAACCAAGGCTGCTGAATTATGTGTGAGTGTGGAGCTACACTTCCAACATCCTACAGTGTACAATAGAGCACAGAAGTCAGAGTCCTTTCCCCCTAGAACCACAGCCTGGATGTCCCTACAGAAGTTGCTAGCGAAGTGTGGAAAAGATCCTGTGTCTTTCTACTCACTACCCAGTGGACACAAATCAGCTTCAAAGAACTATCACCTTTGGCAGAAGGTGGGAAAACACAATAATAGTCAAATATTTCTTGGCATTGATTTGAATAGAATAGAAAGTAAAAAATAATTTTTAAATTTCATCCACAAACTTTCAGTTGCCTGCAAAAACACCAGAGAGGATAAAATATCCTTCATTTAGTTCATTATCCACTTAAAATTCAGTTTTCCTCTCCAGATCCATAGACTCCCCAATTGGCAACAGAATGACAGAAAAGGATTTCAAAATGAAAAACGGGAATGCCCATTTCCTCACAGATAAAGACATCTAAATATGAAGATACAGTTCAATTGGAACAGTGCTGTCTGCCAAGCACTAGTCCAAGGTTTGATCCTCAGTAAAACCAGGAATGGTAGTCCAGGCCTATAATCCTAGCACTCATGAGATGGAGACAAGGGGACCAGACTGAGTTACATGAGACTCTGTTTCAAAAAAGTAATAATAACAATAAAGAGATTTATAAAAAAAAAAAGGGGGGGGGTCTTGTTAAATACCAGATGCCTCCATGGGTACAGATGCTTGTGTACAAACCTGACAACCTGGATTGCATGCCAGGCCCCACAGGGTAGGCAGAGAGAAGCTGCTCCTGACAATTGTTTCCTGACCTCACATGAAAGCACACACAACCCACCACAACATATACAAATCATACATTAGTGATTAAAAGTGTGGTCACTCAAACCCAATCAATCTTCAGGTTGGGATGTGGATAGGAAAGAGACCAAGGAATAAAAAGGCAAGGGAAATATACTCATCATGCTCCGGGGAGCAACGAGATACAATCCAGGTTTCCGTTGCAAACTTCCTGAAGAGACTTCCAATTGAAGACGTAGTTGGGCATAAAAAGCAAAGTTTAAAGTGAGGGTAAAATGCATAGAAGGAATATCTACAAGCTCAGACTCATCCTCGATCTCTCCAAGTGCAAATGCTCACAGGTAGAAGAGAATCAAAACTGGGACAATGAGGACAGATAGACAAGAAGGAGAATCATTTTATTTAGAACTTCACACACTAAAATTTGATGTTTCTCTTTCTTTCTGCTTGGTAGTCAAGTTCTTACCTCTTTAACAAGTGCAGAGAATTCCTGCCTAGGATCACAAGTTACACACATTTCTGAGATGGCTCAAAAGCAGCGATCCAGCTAAATCACCACCCAGGCCAGATCAATCAATATCCAGCCAGATCAATCACTGCTCAGTCCAGATAATAACCATCCAGTCCAGATCAATCACCACCCAGTCCAGATGAATCACCTATTGCTTCACCTACTGACAAGATAAAAGACTCCCATTGACTATGGCTGTATTTGTTTCCAAAATTTCCAGTTAGCTTTCTGTTATTATTCTCTCTTAAACATGAACAAATAACCAAGGGCTATCTGTGGTGGACACTCCTATTACAGTATGTCTGTGGTAGAGTATTATTTTAAGGTGTGTGACTTTTGTTTATGCTACATTTGTTTAACTCAGTGAAGCTGTGATTCTTTGCCTGTCTAAAACACCTGATGGTCCTAATAAAGAGCTGAATGGCCAACAGCAAGGCAGGAGAAGGGACAGGCGGGGCTGGCAGGCAGAGAGAATAAAGGAGAAGCAAGGAAGAGAGGAGCAAGGGGACAAGGAGAGGAGGGTGTCAGGGACCAACCACCCAGCAACCCCGCCACCCCGCCACCCAGCAACCCCGCCACCCAACCACCCAGCAACCCCGCCACCCTGCCACCCAACCACCCAGCAACCCAGCCACCCAGCAACCCCGCCACCCTGTCACCCAGCAACCCCGCCACCCCGCCACCCCGCCACCCCGCCACCCCGCCACCCAACCACCCAGCAACCCAGCCGCCCAGCAACCCAGCCACCCAGCAACCCCGCCACCCAGCCACCCAGCCACCCTGTCACCCAACCACCCAGCAACCCCGCCACCCTGCCACCCAACCACCCAGCAACCCAGCCACCCAGCCACCCAGCAACCCCGCCACCCTGTCACCCAGCAACCCCGCCACCCCGCCACCCCGCCACCCCGCCACCCCGCCACCCAACCACCCAGCAACCCAGCCGCCCAGCAACCCAGCCACCCAGCAACCCCGCCACCCAGCCACCCAGCCACCCTGTCACCCAACCACCCAGCAACCCCGCAACCCTGCCACCCAACCACCCAGCAACCCTGCCACCCAGCCACCCAGCATCCCCGCCACCCAGCCACCCAGCATCCCTGCCACCCAACCACCCAGCCAGCCACTGAGTAAGAAGTAAAGTCAGATATACAGAAGTAAGAGAAGATAAAAGGCCCAGAGGCAAAATGTAGATGGGTTAGTTTAAGTTAAGACAAGCTAAGGCCAGGCATTCATTACTAAAAATAAGCCTCCGTGTGTGATTTATTTGGTAATTGGGTAGCAGGCCCCTCAAAAAGGATAAAACACCAAAATAACAAAAAGTAATTTCTCACAATATAAGGCAAAGATGAACAAAAGCGCCAGATAGTGGAGACGGATGAAGACATTCACAAGTGAAAGGACACTGAATTATTGAGAAAATAACACGATGTCTCCTCAGAGGTGTCCTTGACAATAAAAATTTGGAAATATCATCATACAAGTGACAAACCCATTCAAGAGCCTGAATGGCAAAGCTAAACTTCCCAGGAAGTACCTAAGAGATTTGAAGACATGAAGTTGGAAAGATGTCACGATATGAATGAAATATAGGATGCCAGTGCTCAAATAGCAGCTGCAGAAAAGAAGGAGAAAGATATCATCAAGTAGGAAGGAGGGCAAAAAAGTGCAAACTCTTTACAAAGTGTCCTGACCTAGTGCACCTGATTGAGGTGGCAAAAGATCTAAGCAAATGCTATCATTGTCAGACTGTGAAGCGATAAGAGAAACCAGCCATAGGAGTCAGAATACTAATTCATTCTAATTCCAAATTATACACAATTTGTGGCAAGGTCTTCAAAGGCTGTGGGGAATTTTTTCTCTGCAGAAAGAAGGGAGGGAGGGCAATGTTAGAAACAGAGGATAGGATGCTCCTCCTGAGAGTCTTAAGAGCAAGAAAATGTCAAACAAAGGTGGTTGTGGTGGCTTCTCCTCGTAGTACCAACACTCGGATGGCTGAAGCAGGAGGGTCATTAAGAGTTTGGGGCCAGTCTGAGATACATAGTGAATTTCAGCCTAGGCTACATAGCAAGACCCTGTCACAAAAAGAAAATCAAATCAGGACTGGAGATAATGAATGGCTCAGAGATTAAGAGCAGTTGTTGCTCTTGAAGAGGATCTGGGTTCATTTTCTAGCACGCACATGGTAGCAGACAACCATCTCTAACTATAATTCCTGGGGAAATGACACCCTCTTCTGACCAGTGCAGGAAACACACAGATAGAGTACATATATGCATGCAGGTAAAACACTCACGCAAATAAAACTGATAAAAGACCTTAAAACTGAAACAAAAGAAAGAAGGAAATAATGCAAAAGAGTAGAAGGAAGGCAAGAGGAAGAGAAGATGATGGAAGTAAACTTCATGACAAAAAGAACTATGGAGAATTACCAAAAAATCACACTGAGCTGGCCTGGAGGTTTATAGTTTAGAGACAGGCGGAGTAGAGAAGAAAACACCGATGACTGAGCCATGCTGAGGGATGATCATACAGTCAGACGATGAGGTGCTTATGAAGTAATGAGAGACACAAAGGAATTCAATCAAATGGGAGAAAATTGCCTAACTACTCAATGTAGATAATATTGAGTTCTATGTTAGAAAACATTATTTCATATCATTTAACACTAAAGTATTAAAAACTAGTAAGACACAAAGTCAAATAGAAGAAAGACCTGAAAACTCTTGTCAAAAAGCAGAAAGGGGGTAAGAGATGATTCCACATAACTTCACTTTTACAGTTTTCTTTTCAATACACTTTGGTAAACATAAAAATGAAAATCAGCCTTGACAGTGTTCTATTGTTTTGGGATCTACTATTCTGTCACACTGTAGAACCCTTGTAACTAGAGTGTCTAAAGTGTTGAAGGACTCAGCAAAACTCTGGCAGATTCAGAGAATCTCTTCATGCATCTCAACTTCATGAAAGCGGTGTCTAAAATCCCCACTTCACAAATGGAATGGATCAGACCTTAAATGGACCCAAAGTCACTAGATTCAGAAATCATACTGGCAGGGTAGAACTCATACCTCCTAATTCCCATGCTAGCATTCTGTATTTTGTGAGAGCATCGCTGCCCCCAGAGAGGAAATTCTGAGTCTCATTTTCTGTAAGTGAAAGTTGAACCTAGAATATCATCAAGGACAAGGATACTCACCGGCCCATCAGGAAATGAGGTAGTGACATTAAGAAGCATCCTAGGCCCATAACCACACATCCTATGCCAATCATGATAGGCCTGTGCAGTTTCGTTCCAAAATAACTCACGAATATAATCAACACAAGGTTTCCTGGGAGGGAGAAATGAGAATGCTTGTTTCAGTATAAAGTATTATCACACCAAAACCAACAGCTTCTACATACATACATATACATACACACATGGGCGCGCGTGCACGCGCACACACACAAATATATATATATATATGAGACATCATGACCCTGAGGGAATGTTCTCCTCCATTCTGGAGAGTATTTAGTGCTCTATTCAGGATCATCCAGCCCTTCAGAATGGATACAAAAGCAGGTGTTAGCTTTCAAGTCATATCTGACATCTCCTCTCTCGCCTTGTCTTTGCAGGTTCAAATGGGTTCATGTCTTTTAACTGACTGTTCAAAAACCCCTTATTTATTCAACATGGCCAAGCTGGATGTCTGCTTCTACTGTCACATCTTTCCTTAGACCAGGTGATACTGTTTGTTAAGCAGAGAGAATGTAAGAGTCCTAACCCTCCAACCATGTCTTAGGTCTAGATTGTGGGAGTCAAAATTTCAAACCAAGCATTCATGTCTGTGGCTTAGGAGAAAGCTTGTGTTTAAAGAAACTCGGTGGGAAGCCCCAGCCTGACAGGGGAGCCTTAGATAAACACGCTTCAGAGATGAAGGAACAAGCGTGGCTGGTGTCACACCTGCCACCCCCAGTCACATGGGGATAAGACAAGACTGCAAGATCAAGTCTGCCTGGGCTACACAGTAAGTTCAAGACCAGCCTGGGCATCTTACTGAGGACCTCCTAAAAATAAAAGGTAAATAAAGGGGCTGGGGATAAAGGAGAAGAATACTTGCCTGATGTGTGGGACACCCTAGGCTCAATGATCAATATTATTCACCCCCCCAAAGAAGGAATTGAAAAGAAGCAAATATATAAGTAAACTCTCTTCAAACCAAATAACTTTAGTTTGATGATGCATTTTTGCCTTGCTCATATAATGAATAAAGGAAAGATCAGAAAACTCAAACACATCTCTTTGATGGCTTAACACATCTCTAAGGGATCTCAAATACTTAAAAGATATACAGAGACTTTCCCTTTTCTTGAAACTCTATTTCTCTCTAGTAGGCTAATTAGAAAAAAAGAAGTTGCATTATTTCAAATGCTGTGCCCTATCCCTATATCCTAATTACCCTGTCTCTGTCCAAAGTCTCTACCATTGATGTCATCATTCAGAAGGTAATGTCCCAGGACAGCCATTGTTTGAACTCTCTGGGTGTCTTTCTAGTCTCTGACTGTACCCACTCTGAATACACCAGATCTTGTCTACAATCTCTGTTGTTTGAAAGGAAAAACACTCCTTCCTCACAATCGGCTTAGGTGGTCTTTTACATAACCTCGATGTTCCTCAAACAATTGGAGGGAGGGTGTATGTGGTGGGGGAGAGAAAGGTAAGGTGTCATCCGAACTCAGGAAAGATTGATTGTGAAATTAACTGGGGAGATGGCCACCAAATGCTGCACTCACTGGCCAATGTGACTTACTTCCTCTCGCAGGGATTTCAATCAAGACTTCCCTTTAAGTCTCCTTCCACAGCCAGTGGTGGGGTAGTTACTATTTTCTAAATTAAAGAGGACTTTTTAACCTTTAGTTTAAAAACCACAGAGGTTGCAGCAAATAGAATTTTTCATGAACCTGAGAGAGAATAATTTTCAATAATCATTAACTCAACATTAGCCTTTGTTTACGGTAACGTAGGAAACAGTAGTGACACAAGGAGCCATCATTCCATCACCAATAGAAGTACAAGTATTTTGGTCACTTGTGAGTCCAGCTCACAAAACTACCTCCTCCCAGGTTTCAGATTAGAAGCCACGGCTTAGCTAAAGGACTGTAGAAAGTTTCTAGTCTGAGAGGTAGTGGATTAACTCACACATGTGTTCTTGCAGTCATGCTCTTTATTCTGCTGGTTCTAATTCTACTTCCTTCACTTCCAGTTCTTTACTACAGGAAAGGTATTGGGGAGACATCAAGCTGTTTTAGCATAAGCATAACTACAGACAGGAGCAATAGCTTCCAGAATTGTTGGTCCCACAGGCCATGCTTGGGTGGGATTCTCCTCCACCAGAGAATCATTCATTCCTCTGGTGGGTTGACATGTGAACACAGGTCATCACCTGCTGAACACTTCCACAGCCTAAGATGTAAATAGTGGTTTACAACATTGTGATTGTTGTAAATACTGCAATAGTCCATGTAGCAAATAATTACTTGACAATCAGACCTAGATAATATTTGCCTTGTTATTCCGTCCAAATTATACTTTGAAGTATAATTACCAGAACATTTAACATCCTGTCAGGACAGAATAATCAAAGTATAATTTGGATTCCTATTAGCCTACATAGTTTCATTTTGTACAACTAAAGGATTATCCAGAAATCAGATGGCATTGGGTTTTCAATATGAGTCCTCAGCTTGGAGAGTTCCAACCCCATGCTGGCTATCTGCCAATTTTTCATCTCTGCACATCTCTCCAGGTTCATGTTCTAACAACTTCCACTTTCCCATGGCACTGGGCCGACTTCATCCCAAACTATTTGATGCTTCACCCTCTGCACAAATCTCGCCTTCACATTTACCTGTTCATTTCTCCACTGGCAAACCTTAATCCCTCAGGAGTTTGTCTTCCCAGCACAATGTGTTCCATAAGACCTTGTATAACCGATGGACTGCACATGCTGCCTCCAACACACTAGAGCATGACTGAATATCACTAAGGTCTATGTAAGGCATTCACCCCGACTTCACTGTGAAAGCCTAAGACACAGTGGGCAAAGTCCTGAGGAGCTCCTGAGCTTGATCCTGAGAGACAGGACAGAACATCCTCCGCAGATTAGCCACATCACAATCCTGGTTTTCTTTGCTGTTTTGATTAAATACATAAAAAACAATTTCACCTTGGAGGAAGTAAAAACTAAGGTCGCATTATTTATGGAGAGCATCATTCCTTCCTTTACCCTTTCTACTCTTGTATCTCAGTTCTTCACCCAAAATCCAGGGCTAAAGTTTATTCACTCTTCTTAGGAATTGCATCTGACAAAACTCAAACCCAGGAAAGCATCCTCATCTTCTCAAGTGACTAGGCATGGAGAGCTGTCAACATCAGAGACACAGTGGAGAAAAAGAAGTATCTGCTCTCCTCCGAACATTCGTTCCTCCAGGGTACCAAAGCAACCTTCTAAAATGCCGAGGAAAGGGCTTTATTGTCTCTTTGAGGCGTCAAGTGATGGAATTAGATATCAATACTCTAAATTTTCTGCCACCTGCCAGAAACAAAGAGACCATACCAGGGTATGTGGCCTAATTAGGTGCTATAATGGGGTATTTAAATAGTGGTTTCATCGCACACAAACCAGACTATTCAACCACATCAGGAAGCATGTAACTCAGTCAGATCAAATATTCAAATTCAGGAAATAAGGAGAGAGTATCAATATATAATAATACATAAATGTGAAAATACTCACCAATCTCAAAGCTCCCATTGATAAATCCTACTATAGATGTGGGGATATTGAATTGTCTCTCTATTTGTGTGAGCATGGAATTCATATAAGCTCCTGATAGTGATTTGGATACATATGCCCCCGTTAAGGCCACCAGAAACATCTGAGAAGAAAAATGTTCAAGAAAAAGTGAAAAATTTATTTTCCAATTACATATCTGCCATCTGATAAAAAGGAAAACAGCCTCTACTATGAGTTGGAGAGGATTATATCCAATTTGAACAACCCTTGAACATGCAAGAAACTCTGAAGTGTAGTCTTTACTCTGACATCATGTCCTAACTCTGGAAATGTAGAGTTGGAATAGTTGGTGAGTTTTGTAGGTGGGTATGGCTTTTCTCTTTTATCAGTGTATTGTATTCATACAGAATCCATACATGGAATTATTCTACGAAATGCGCAGCTATTGTTAGGTCTTCAACATTATACTGTTATCTGCAGGACAAATGTTGTTCATTTTAAGGAAGGGGAGAAATAAAACATGGAGTTGCAGCATGGTATTGTTTCTACAGCAAGCCTACTGTGTATTCAGGAAGACAGGTCCCTGAATGTCTGTGGCCAGTTCAAAATTTTGTCCTCTTTTTCTGCTTCCTTGAGAACAATAAGCTACATTCTCACTGCCGGGTGCAATGGGAACAGAAAAGTAGTCTCTGTTTTCTTTTGATTTTCTTTTGGGGGCAATATACCCTATAACCCTTTATCTCGGTACTTCAAGTGGTGCTCATGGGATATAACTGCAGGGCAGAACATTTTGGGGTCTCTCACGTGCAGGATATAATGTGGTTGTGTACAGGTAAGACTCTTCACTGCCTGTGACTAATAAACTCACTTTGGGTGATGTAGCAAGTTTCCCTTAACATATCTTCCAGCAGCTGGTTGATGGCAAATGTCATCATCCCAGCTTCTAGAACTTCTGTACTGCCTCATCTGACGTAACAGGCAAGGCATAATGTGTTAGATTAGTATTTACTGCTTGTAAAAGTTGTCACAAGTACCAATTAATCTTGATTAACCTGAATAGAATCATACACACACAAAAGTAAATAAATAAAATGGTAAATGTGAATACCAAGTTCCATATAGTTCAAAAGTACTGTATGAATTTAAAAAAAAACATAATTCCAGCTCCAGAAGTTTGTATTCTAACTCTAAATTGCCACAAGTGCTAATCTTTCAGAGGATATGATTGACAATTGATAATTTTCACATGACTTTTATAATTCAGGTCCTATATTTAAAAGAAAACCCTATCAAATTGAAATATATATATATATATATATACATACATACATACATACATACATACATATATATATATATATATATATATTCAGACTTGGGGAGATCCTTTACTTATGTTTGGAAGAAGAAAGCTAAGCAGATAGTGAGCAAACTGCTCTTCTCTAAACTATTCTTTTCTGGGCAGAAAGTGTGAAAGGAACCAGTGTCTGTGCTCATCCAGGTCTCCTCCTACATAAGACCTGTGTATAGAAAGCCAGTCCTGCTGACTATCGGCCTCAGCACTCTACAGTTTGGAGCAAATGCTCTCAGAGCGGTCCCCTCATCCCTCCTGAGGGAGGTCTCCTTTTTCTTCTTCGTTTGTCCTTTCTCTTTGTGAAAGTGTGTGCATGTTCATGTGGAATGAGTTCATATATGTATATGGAGATGGAGACGGAAGACAACCGCAGGTGTAATTCCTCCCAGATTAGTACATTTTTAATAACAGTAACTCTCATCAGCCTGGAATTTACCCAGGAGGCAAGGCTGGATTGTCCGCGAGCATCAAGTCTCTGCTTCACTCCATCTCCCCATGCTGGGATTGTAGTCGTATGTCACCATGAGTAGTTTCTGTGTAGGCTTGGGGACTGACTGGTCATCCTGGTTTCATGGCAAGTACTTTACTGATTGAGACATCTCCTTGACCCCTCGAGAAATTTTCCTTTCCTTTCTTTAACAAATTGTATTGATAAAATTTACTGTTTGGTGCTTTCATATGCATGTGGCATCATCTGATTATTAATTTTTAATCTCTTCCCCATTAACACCCTCATTCCTAGCTCCTTTTTGCAAGTTTAATGAGTTTTGTTTTAGTTGTTTGTTCCATGTAGCTTAACCAATTAATCTGTGGAGACACTGTGTTAGAAATAGCCATTGATGCCCGCTGAGGTCATTGGTGCATGCATGACAGAAGGGCACTAAGGCCATCTTTGCCCTTGTCCTGGGCCACCTTAAGAGATTATATCTCTTAACTTAAGAAGGAGGAGCTTAAGTCTGCAAGTGTAGACTTTTGACCATCCTAACATTTTAGATAGTTGTGAAGCCAGAGGACTCTAATTATTGTCATATAATTACCTCTAAATTTTGACTCATAAACTTATTGTTTTAACATGTTACCCATAATCTCCACACTAATATATACTGTAGTTTAACTCCAATGTAATTGTGGTGGTTTGAACACAAATGGCTCCCATAAACTCACAGATTTGAATGACTCGTCACCAGGTAGTGGCACTATTGGGCGACGTGGCACTACCGGAGGAAGTTTGCCAATGACAATGGTCTTCTAGGTTTAAGAAGCTCCAGATAGGCCACTCTCTTCCCGCTGCCTGCTAATCTGGATGGAGAACTCTTGAATGCTTCTCTAGAATGACATCTCCCTTGGGCCCTCATGATTCCCACCAAGATGATGATGGACTAAACTTTTGAACCTAAGGCAGTCCCAAATAAATATTTTGTTTTATAAGAGATGCAGTGTTCCTAGTGTCTCTTCAAGCAACAGGAACCTTAACTAAGACAGTTACAGGAGACAAACTTTGAGAAGTAGTGCTTATAATGAAAGATGATAGCTTTAATAATTAATAATCATAGTACTCATCATTATCCTAAGCATTGAATCTGGAGATGGGGCTCAGAAGTTAATATCACTGGCTACTCTGGCTAAGGTTCTGTTCCTAGCACCCACATGGTGGTTCAAAACCATCAGTAACACTAGTTCCAGGACATCCAACACCTTCTGGCATCTAAGGACACAAGACACTCAAATTATCCTTTAGTTCTCACATTATTCTGAGGATCCAGGTCCCCTGGCTCCTAACCCCTGCCAGATGCATTCTGGATGTGTCACTTTGGACAATTTGTGCAAAGTGTTTATACTTCAGCATATTTATTTCACCTGAAAAGAGTAATAGTAGCCCTACATTTTAAGATAAAACAGCTAGCCGAAAGAAATTTTCTTATGAATCAATGATTGTGATATAGCCAAAGCTTGAAGAAAATATTTCTCTGATCAAATCATGAGGTCATCTTTGCATATTCATCAACAGAGAACTTCTGTAGTGGACATGTTCTTAGCTGTGACTCCTGACCATTTGTCAGGAACTCCTGGTGGTTGAGCACTGGATTGACTCCTCAGACTAAATTCCAGCTCAACATAATATTCCCAAATATTGTCTATAAATGTTTGTTTTCATTTAAATGGACTTGGTTATATAAAGTAAATAAATTTAAAAAAAATACTCACCTAAAACATTTTTAACCATGGCCTCCTTTAAGACCCTCTAAATCAGTAATTCTCAACCTCATGTTCTGTTCACCCCAACCATAAAAGTAGTTTTGTTTACTACTTTGTAACTGTAATTTTCCTACTCTTAGGAATTTTAATGTAAGTATCTGTGTTTCCCAATGGTGTTTGGTGACTCCGGTGAAAAGGTGTTCAATCTGCAACGGGATCCTGATCCACAGGTTGAGAACTTCTGCTTTAAATTATTCTGATAAATCTTCCTTTATTAATAATCCTTGCTAGACATCCATAATCATAGTAAGGCTAGCTCCTCTAAGGCAAGAAATTAACAACACATTGGGCAAAGGGACTTCTATGTTGGAAAACTTCATGTAAGCTGTGCTTTAAAAGATTCTATGTATATATGTGAGCACACATCTAAACATTCCATACCTTGATCTTGGAAAAGCATCTCACCCCATGGGCCGCAACCCTTTTCCTGGGTTCTCCCATGTTCTTCTGATAGTTTCCAGATGTTACTGCTTTAAATGCCTCACTGCTGTCCAAAAAGAAAAAAAAAACAAAATCAAACACTTTTTAATTGAATTTTTTACTAAATTGTAATGAATCATTCTAAAAAAAATAAAAATAAAAATAGACCTTCTTAGGTGTCTTAGTCATGATTTCTATTGCTGTGATAGAAATACTAGACACAAACTTAGGAAAGAAAGAACCAAAAGCAACTTAGAGGAGAAAGGGAGGAAGGTTTTATTTTAGCTCACAAATTTATATCAGAGTCCATCACTGATGGAAGTTGGAGCAGGAATACGTGGCTGCAACCTGGATGCAGGAGAAGATACAGAGGCCATGTAGGGATGCTGCTTCCTCCTTTGCTCCTCATGGCTTGCTCATCCCGCTTTCCTATACAACCCAGGATTGCCTGCCCAGGGATGGTACCACGCACATTGACTGAGCTGGGTCCTCCCACATCAATCACCAATCAAGAAAATGCACCACAGGCTAGACCATCAGTCAGTCTCCAGGGACATTTCCTCAGTTGAGGTTCCCACTCCCCAAATGACCCAAGCCTGTGTCACATTGACACAAAACTTTCACACTCCGCTGGGGAGGTGTTTCAGTGGGTCACATGTTTGAGTCCTAAGTTTGAGGACCTCAGTTTGGATTATTAGCAACCAAGTAAAAAGCTGGACTTCTCTGTACCTGCCTGTAACCCAAACTCTGGGAGGACCCAGATGGCAGGATCACCAAGGTGTGCCAACCTGACACTCTAACCAAAACAAACAACTGACAAGTTCAGTGAAGAGACTCCATTATAAAACTTAAGTGAAGTACTCTAGAGGAAGACATTCTGTATTGACTTGCGACCTCCCTAATATGGATACCTGTACATGTGCACCTACACCCACACACATACTTACCTATATACACAAACCCATACATACATATTCACCGTGAATGCACACACGCACACGCACAGCACACCACAAATCTTTTGAATAGAAACAATTTAACCAGTCTTGAATATTATAAAAATTATCTAGAAAGATTTTTATTCAGACTCCCTTGAAAATAATGTCATAGGAGAAGATTGGGTTTGTTTGATTTCTATTGAAAAAGCCAATGCAAATAAGTATACTTAGTCCTTGGCGATATTAAAGCTAGCTTCAGAGTTTGTTAGATTCTGACCTTATGCTAATGACAATATGGTTAAAATAAAGCTTTTGAATTCTTTATCAAAGCAAATGAGACCCAGGTGATGCCTTTTGGGCTCACTTGAAGGCTGCTGCCTTTCAGAACATGAAGACATCCATAATGTTTATTCTAAATCTCTGCCTCGCTCAGCCCACAAAGGCTTTGCATTCCAAGACTTCTCTGGTGTCTCAAGAAGAGAAACACTTTCTGGGCACTATTAATTTACAGAAGCCTGGGGAGACATGGAATTTTAACCAATAAAACATTCTAAGGAAAAACAACAAATAAGTGTGGATTGGAAAAGGCCAGATACTTACATAGATATCTGTGTGTCTTGAAATTAGGATATTTCTCATCAACATTTAAGTGTTTTAATTTTATATTTATTCTAGAAAATCTATTTCAACATACCAGTACTGTTCCTAGGCAGTATCCACATCACTAATTTATGAAAATTCTCTGAACAATATTCATTCCATATGTAATTCTGAATGGTTCATATCGGAATTTCCAGGAGTTTCAAATCCCAGTCACATTGAGCAATTATGTACAACTGTATTTCTCATTATTACATTGCACTTACAATGAGTACTTATTGAATAACTACTATGTGCATGAAGAATTGACTGAACAAAGAATAAGACAATCTTGCTGTTCTATAGAGTAGTGAAGTTGTTTAAGATACCTCAGTCACCAGAGAAAGTTGCTTGTTTCAAATCCTTAGGAACCTATTCTTCTTCTGGGAAAGATACAATTTCTTTTAAATAAATAAATGTATACTGAGATAAAATATGGCCATGCAGGCTGAGATGAAACTATCTTATTGTGGAAATATGAAAGAAAATTCATAGGCTAAGGATAACAATCATAGCAACTGTCTTAGCAGTTTTGGACAGACATAAGTATGAAAATCCCCCCAGACTCAAGGATCTCACATAAAACTTCAAGTACACTCAACTTCTTAAGAGTGCCTGATACTGGTTGTGGGAAGAATGAGGCAATTTCCAGGAAAGAGGAGACTCATGATTTAAATCTGCACCTAATATAGATGAACATTAACATTGACCTCTAAACTTTCTTTGCCCGCAGCAAAATCTCTTTTCAGACCTTTCTTTCTCTTTTTGCATTCCTGATTCCAGGATGGTCTCCTTAACCTTCACTAAGGTAACTTACTCCTCTCCTATATCAAAGCTGTCTTTGCTTTCCTTGGTAGCTTAAAATATAACCATCCTCAGGATTTACTTGTCATTTTTCAGCCAAGAGAAACTGGAGTTAGCATCCAGATTATTGGATGGATCTTTCCATGCACACTAAGTACTCATCCAAGTAGGTTTGTTGTTGTTGTTGTTGTTTGAAAAGGGGTTTCTCTGTGTAGCTTTGAGCCTATCCTGGCACTCTGTAGCCCAGGCTGACTTCAAACTCACAAAGATCCACCTGCCTCTGCCTCCGGAGTACTGGGATTGAAGGCATGCGCCACCACCGCCCAGCCATCCAGCTAGGTTTTATCACTACCTTGAAGATTCCTTTCAGAACACTTTTGCTGTCAGAGAAGTTTTATAAATAAGTGTCTTGACTCTAAATAAAGCATACAAAGCCAAGCACTCAAAATCAGATTCATTGTTAGTAAACTAACCCCCACCTTCCTTTAATGTACCAATGTATCCTTTGAAAAGTATTATAGCTTTTCAGATGCACTTTAAACATGTCCACAGAGGAAAAGAGGGGAAGAAACATCTCTTTTAAGGATTCAACAATATCTGTGTAACCCAATCTTTAAACATGTCACATTCCCCTGTTGAGCACTTTGAACCTAAATGAGAAATGTGCACAGAGCAAGTGGCAGACACATGAACAGTTGTTAGCACAACATTGTTTAAACAATGACTTCTGCTCCCAGGGATAGCAGAGTATCACAACCAAATTCATACCAATTATCAGTGCTCATGAAAACAGCGTGTTGCACTTTTATTAAGCAGACAACAGTCATGTATCCCCCTCATTAGCATCCACATGAGGAATGGGAACACACCACCCTCATTCTCCAGCAAAAGAGTCCACAACTCTGAAACATTTTGCACTGCTTGTGTTATCATAAAGATGTATGATAGAACGCCTGCTCTCTCAAACATTTCAAGAATACAGTGCAGAGTTGCTGAGTAGGTGGGTGGAGTGAGCATACTACAAAGCAGATCTCTAGCACAGCATCTACCTTGCAGTACTGGCGCTCTATACACACTGAGCAGCAACCCTGGATGGGGACCCTTTGGTAATGGTCCTTAACGGCATCACAACCACAGGAGAACACAGTCACTCATGCTCAGTGCCCACACAGCCTGTGATTATCAGAAAATGTTTGCTGTTCATTCCACATCATCTGTGCTACTGAATTAATGAATCAAAGGCTTGCATTACCATGGCCAAGTGAATAGTACATACATGAAGAAGCCTTAGGAGACGGTCCTCTCCCTGGTGAGGGGGAAAAAGTCACAGCAGCAAACGTTTTAGGACTTAGTCCCTGTTCTGGAATCCTCAAATTGTCCCTAACTGCTAGAGGCAGCCTACTGGGTGCTGTCCAGCTGAACTGCTTTCAAGCAATACCAAGCCAAGAAAGGGCGTGGAGAATCAACAATGACTGGCTTGATTCCTAGAAAATCATTTTACCTTGGTCAATTTTTCCCATCAGAAATAAAATAAAACAATACTGGATTCCAATTATTAAGTCTGACATGTATAGGTATACTTTTATATCCTACATACTTGGTATGTGGCTTTCTGGGGAAGCTTAACCAAATATCAAGAACATTACCAATTTGTGTGGTTTACTATGCAAAACAAGACTGGAACAGGGACAAACCCTTCACAAGCAATCTAGTCAGTTTATGACTATGGATGTGTTCTAACTCTAGACTGAAAAGTCAAATTGGAAATTTCAAACATAAGTTCTACCTGGGAATGTCATCAATGTTACTTCCCATACCAAACATATCTAGAGAATGAAGAGATGATTGCAGAAGATCCAGTTCCCATACGTGAGACACTTGCTTTGACCTAGGTCTCACCAGGTAGTGTTAAGCTCTCTAATGCACAGTCCTGTTAAGCCCTGTACCTTCTAGTTAAAGCAGGAAAAGCAGGAATCAGGCCTAGCCAGTGTGAGAATGCTCACTCTTTGTTTTTTTGTTTTGTTTTGTTTTGTTGTTGTTGTGTGTGTGTGTCTTCTTCTTCTTCTTCTTCTTCTTCTTCTTCTTCTTCTTCTTCTTCTTCTTCTTCTTCTTCTTCTTCTTCTTCTTCTTCTTCGTTGTTTTTCCACATCACATTATTTTTAATTGATTCTCCGGAAGGTTCCCATCATGTACCCTGATCACAATGCCTTACCGATCCTCCCATGTCCACACCCTGTCTTGTGACCCCCCAAAAGAAGTAGAAAATAACAAGAAAACAGTTCACTTTGTGATATCTATATACTCACTGAAGCATGGTCAATTCTTAGTGGCATACCCCTTAAACAGAACTGGCTGCTTCCGCTCCCACACCTTTGACAGAATCCATCAATTATGCAGAGACACTCTTCAGCATCCCTATCATACTTTCTAGAAGTTCTCCTTGGTACTTCCTGTCTAAGTAGTCCCTGTAGGAGCATGGGGGAGTAGAGTTTGTCACAGAAGCCCTCCATGTCTCTCTCTCTCAACTGTGCATCTGCCATCATCAATATCATACAAAAGTAGCCTCCTTTATCTTCAATCAGTAGGATGTTTCTGACTACAACAGAAGCCATGAACATAGCCCTCTGTGGCAT